ATTGCTTCCAACTCGCATAATTTCTTAGAACCATTAGGCAAAGCACATCTACTAGTGTGCACCGCGTAATCATATGCAGACACCTGATAGACAACAGTAGCTGGCAAACCTTGCATATTTTTGCATGCAAGTGCCAGCGGCTTGCAAAAAATTAGAGAAAATATACTTCTAGCAAGCCGCTGACACCTCTGGTTCTTAGGATATTCTATTTTTGAAGTCCATTCAAAATTTACAAATGATAATTGGAATTGCCAGCGAATTTTTCACCAACTAATCACGTTGATGAAAAATTTCGCCAGTGCGAGGTAAAGCCATACCCTGTTTTGAAAGTGCATGTCCATTACCGAACACATACGTTTCATTCTAATATTGTTTGAGTAAATTTCAGAGAAGGATTAAATGAGAAGAATTGTGAGTGTGAATAAGAAATTTAATCTGGCTTAATAGAAACAAATCTGAAATTTAAAAAGTTTGAATGATATGATGCATTCGCCGTCATGTTTATCAATTAAGGTTCCTGTGGTAATTCACAACTGGCTGCTGTAGTTGTGCTGCTCCGTCTTACACCGATGGATATCTCAGCAGCTAGAGATGCTATGACTTTATGGGCGTTTGACGATATCAGCAAAATTCTACATGAACGTGCAACCCAAATCGAAGGAGAGGTGCGCTTTTTTTTCCTCAAATCTTGTCTTGGAAGGTTTCAATCACTAGGAAATTTAGAGCCTCTATGATCTATTCATAGCTGAACGTTTTCTACCATCCGATGAGTTTATCGAAGCAATAAATGCATTGACCGTAGTGCAAAAAGGACATATTGGTAAATTATCAATTGGCGGTCGTCACCTAGAATTAGGTCAAATTATGAGTGGAATCATTCTGAGTTTACCAGAAGAGACGCAAGCCAAGGTAAGTCTTGATTCCCCCTAGCACGTCTCAAAAGACCATAATATGTTTGGTAATTTATTATATGCAAATTACTCAATGATCCTGCTATCATCAATACGGTTGCGTCTCTTTCAGTCAGTCAACTTCATGGAACTTATGAAGACTCTTGTCTGTCTACATGCGACTCTTCAAGAACCATCCTATTACTGAATACAACCGCTTTCTGAGAGCGATTCACATCATCACAATATGCGCACCACTTCGCAACAATCGCAATAGATTTATGGCGTACCTTTATAAATGAAAATTACTAGACATACTCGGCTGTTTATGGTACTTTCGACAGAATGGTAAGTCAATCCAACAGCTGAATAACTCTGACAATTTACCAGACAACATGTGCGTTCAAGAACGAGAGGAAACGCCGATTGGATTTATCATAGCAACTTGTTACCTTATCGTTCCTTATGTAATTAGTGTGCTGTTAGGAAGACTGCTTACACAACTCAATTCAGTTTATGATTACAAAGTAGAGAAAAAATTGCCACCTCAGAAATAAAGGTTTCCATATTTGAACATGTTGACATTCAGATAGCACTAGCAAAGCAAGGACATAAACAGCTCAGCAAAGAGGAAGCATTACTATTCAAATATGTACAACATATATTATGAGTAGGATTCTATGAAAGGTAATGCCTCGCCTACTTCAAGATATTTCAATAATTCAAAGCCTCATGATAGTATTTCCATTCTTACCCGCAGCCGAATGTAATTCGCGGGCAA